CTCACCCTCGGAGAGCGGGTCCCGCGGTGTTCCTCTGTGGACCCTCAGCACAGCACTGAGCCGTGGCCGGAACACAAGGAGTGTTCAATGCACACAGTTCCGATCCATGAGGGAAAAATCTGGGCAGGAATGGGGGATGCTGAGTGCAGGCGCGCAGCAGCCCAGGGCACATCTTGGGGAAGAGAAGGCCCTCAGTCCCTGTGGTGCTCACTGAGTGTGAGACAAAGCCCTCTGCGCCCCTGCCATCTCTCTGGGTCGTCGTGAAGGATGCCTAGAGAACAAGGCTGTCGGAGTGCTTTCCTAGCAAGGTTTGTTAACATATAAATACCAGGGGTTATCTTTTAATTCTATTTTCCACGAACTTTTGGAAGCTCCCTGACATGGAAGATGGGAACAGAAACACATGATGTTGCCTAAATATTCCACCTGCCCCAGGTAAACCCTCTGAGCCAGCATCCGAGCCTTTCTTGAAAGAATGGGCCACCGGGAACTCCGTGCTGAAATGCAGCACCTCCTGAGCAGCTACACATCTTTTTAGTTGAGCAGGTAGACAGTTAGGGCCTACTGCCCGCAGAGAAAGGGGTACCTGGTTTGTCTGGTTCCATCCCTAACTCATCTCCTTCCCTGAACCTACGTAATCTCTCAGCCAAGGTGGGCTTTACAGGACAAGGGAATCTCCCTCCCCCATCACTCCCTTCCTCCCTCTCATCAGAAACACTCCGTCTGCCTCCATCCCAGCCCTGGGTCCACTGCTGGGGGAATGAACTGGCAAGACCTGGTGCTGCACCCAAGGTGCTGAGCAGCTCCTTGGGAGGCAGGCGGACGCTCTCCACTGGAGGAGCAGTGAGCCAGCAGGGCGAGACTTCTAGTACAGACAGGATGGAGGGCCCACAACAGGGTGCAGGCCTCGGGCACCGAGCTCCAGGAAGAGGTAACCGGGTCACATTGGTTGACCCGAGGTCAAAGAGAGAGTGCAGCCAGTCCTAGACACTGCCTGCATTTGCAACCTGCAGAGAGCCTCCCCAGCTGTATAGCCTGGGCCCTCGTCCTAATTAGACCTCCATGGTATGTCACGGCGCTCCATTGTCCAGGCTGTCAGCTGCGGGTCCCCTTCCGTCTGGTGGTCTTAGTTAATGAACCCATGAGGGGCCGACCAAGCTCATTATATGCCATGCAGAGGACCAGGGGACCCCTCCTCCATTCTCCCCCAGCTCCCACCTGCTCCATCCCCACCACACACAGCCTAGTGTTTACAGCTGTCGATGGCCCTGATGGCCCACGATACAGAATGTACGCGTGATTGTTCAGTCCGAGAAGTGGGTCACTTGCTCTCTGTCTTTAGATGTGTGTGTGTGTGTGTGTGTGTGTGTGTGTGTGTGTGTTTCCAAATTCAAAACTCCTGCCGTTGAGTCAGTTCTGGCTCACAGCCACCCGATAAGGACAGGGCATGGCTCCCCCTGTGAGTTTCCAAGACTGTCACTCTTTACAGGAGTAGAAAGCATCCTGTTTCTCCCTCAAAGCCGCTGGTTGTTTTACATTGTTGACCTTGTGGTTCACAGTCCTGTGCACAACCCACTATGCCCCAAGGGCTTCCTGTGTGTTTGGGGGGGGGGGGATCCAAACATCCTACTGCCCTCAGCCTGACCCTAGTCCCCTCTCAGACATGGTGGGTCTAGCACACGCTTGGTCAAGTTGTCTTGTGAGAGCATCCGCATCCTACTCTCCAGGATGGGCAGTTGTCACGGGCATGCAGTAAGTGCTCACTGAGTGCGCTCTATAAATTATCACCATGACGCTGTTGCTGTTAGTGAAAAGTGGCTGAGGAAGCAGCCAGGGTGTCCTTCAAGAGATGAAAGGACACACAAACTGAAGGACATCGTTCTTATATCCCTCTGCCATCGAATCCAATCCAACTCACAGTGAACTTACATTGGGTTCTGGGACTGCAAATCCTCACGGGTGCAGACAGCTTTGCCTCTTTCCCGAGGAAGGGCTGGTGGTTTTGAACTACTGACCTTGCAGTTAGTTTGGGCTTATCCCAAAGCACCACCATCAGAGGTTGGGAGGGTGCTATTATTCAGCAATACAAATAACTACCATGAAGAGACACAAGGGGACCTTACACTGTGAATGAAGCCAGTCTGAAAAGAGTACATATTCTAAAAGTCCAACTACACAAAATTCTAGAAAAACATCCCAAACCCCAAACCTATCGCTGTCAAGTCAATTCTGACTCACGGCGATGCCATAAGGCAGAGTAGAACTGCCTCACGGAGTTTCCAAGGCTAGGAACCTTTACAGAGGCCGACGGCCACATCTTTGGACAACAGAGGGGCTGCTGGAGGGTTCAAACCGCTGACCTTCTGGTTAGAGTTCAGCTGCTTACCCACTGTGCCACGAGGGAGACAACTGAAGGGGCAGAGGTTGCTGTAAAGGTTCAGGAGAGGTGGAGAGGTGGAGCACAGGTCCTTTTAAGAGCAACACAACAAAGCTGCATGCAGCTGTCATGGCGGCATCTGGCGTCCTACATTTTGACACTCTGCCTTTATCAGTAAAGTAACCCCAGTGGCACTGTGGATGGCAGTGGGCCATCGGCTGCAACAAATGCACCACACAGAGGCCAGATACGAATAAGAGGGGAAACCACGTGTCAGTGGGGGAGCCGTATCTATGGGAGCAGAAAGAAATGTTCTTTCAGTGCAAGTTTTCAGGAAACACAGAACCACTCTAAAAAGAAAGGTGTACAGAAAAAGAGAGTCAATACAAGAAACCAAATTGCATCCCCTCCTACTTTCCTGTATTTTATCAATTGCCCATGAGTGTTCTACTTTTATCCTCTAAAACCCTGAAAATCTTGTCCCCAAAAATCTATCAGGAAAAAACAAGACTCTGTGATATGAAAGGATATAGTGCACGGAAGTGGTTATCAACTGGTGCTTCCCCAGCCGTGAATGTTCAGGAGATGGGATGAGGTAGAAACAGTAACAGCTGTGGAGAAGATGTTCGGCCCTTTAATAAAGCAACTTCTTATTCCCACGGTCAAGAGAGGAAACCCCGTGAGTGTTCATTCCCACGTGGCTGTACGGACAGGGGACAGGTCTTGTGGGGCTGAAAGAAGAGAGGAGCCACTGGGTGGGGCAAACAGGGTGCTCAGCTAACTGAACACCTGAAAAATCCCATCCACCCAGAAGCACCTTGGAAGAAAGGTGCTGTCCTTCCTGAAAAATCAGCCACGTCTCCTCTGACACACACGCTGGAGTCAAGTGGACAATAACCGGTTTGTTGTTGTTAGGTTCCTTTGAATCCTTTCCTGCTCCTAGCGACATTATGCACAACAGGATGAAACACTGTCTGGTCCCGTGCCACCCTCATCATTGTTCCCATGTAACTGGTTGGGGTGGGGTGTGTGCGTAAGGAAGAGAACCCCCTGGCCAGAAGGGTGATGACGAAAGAGTCAGATGGAATGAAGTGCTGGAAGGTGGCCTGGAGTAGAATGCATGTGGGTCAGGTGCTGCGCAGTGAGCTCAGCAGAGGAGGCAAGCCCAGGGAGGCTGTGCTGGGTGGGATGACCTGGGGGCAGTGTGGGTGGGGACCACGGCCATGGGAAGCTGCTGCATCTTGCTTGCTTCAGGGGCTGGACCCATAGGGTCAGATCCTAGCCTGCTGTGCAGTTGGGGGACCCAGGAGCTGGGCATGAGAAGTAAGCCATTGCTTTCATGGGTGGGACGAGGCAGAGACAGTCTGCAGCTGGTGCCGCCATCCCCCCACACCCCAGCCTCCGGGAGTGAGGAAGAGGCGTGCTCGAAGCATCAGTTCCCTGGGGAAGGTGTCGAAGGACTTTGGAAGTAGTCTGGTTGGCCTCCAAGGTGAACGACAATGTGATCAGATCAAGTTGTCCTGGTGGCACTGTGGGTTAGACCCTGGACTGGTCAGCGGTTCACACCCACCAGCCCGTCTGCAGCATCAAGACGAGGCTGTCTGCTCCCATACAGTGTACCCTCTCAGCAGCAAGATTTCATTTTGGAAACTCACCAGTGTTGTAATGCGTCAAAATCAAGTCAGTGGCAGTGGATTTGACTTGGTCGTTGTGATAGTTACAAAATCTGGTGTCATTTTGGGACTAGAGAGGATTAAGAGTGAATAGGTGGAATCTAGTCTGTCAATCGGGTCATAGCCAATGAGGCCTCTGTGTGGACATGGCCTTCTCCTGAGGATTCTGGGAACTCCTGTATTTCCTCCTTGGAGGCAGGAGACTCTCTCTTTCTCTGGTCACTCCCTGAGAAACACTCTACTGACAAGTCACATGGTATTATACTGATAGATCCCATACCCTGAGAACTGGAGGAGCCACGTGGAGACCCCTGCCAGCTCTGAGATACTTCTACCGCCACTGGATCCGCAAGACTTTGCACCCACTGGCCTGTGATCTTCCTGCATTCAGCATCATTGCATGTGTTGCCTAAGTCTGAAGAGGAATTTATAGATTGGTATCGGACAGATGGGCTAATAGTGGACTTATGGGCTTGATCTGGACTGGGCTGGGATATTTTCTCAATATTCAACTGCACTTGTATATAAAGCTCTTTCCTATACACATATGAGTCTCTATGAATTTGTTTCTGTAGTCTTCCCAGACTAACACAGTAGTCCTGAAAAGAGGTGGGGTTGTTTGGGCATGAACGGAGCCTTGTCCAGTGCCTGGGCGCGGTAGGATAATACTAACACGAATTCACTGAGGATTTGCCTGCCTCTTGGATTACTCACTTAAATCCCCACGGCACTTAAATCCCCACGGCGCCTTAGACGTAGAAACGATTTCTATCTCCATTTTACACACGGGGAAGACTGAGGCTTTAGTGGTACAAGTGGAGTGGAACCCCAGGTCCTTAAAGGCCAACCACCCGATGAGTCTTTGCCACCTGGCTGCTTTGCTCCCTGCCGGCCCACCTGGTGCTGCCTCCCCGGTTCCCAGGCCCCCGCCTTCCCCAGCCCCTTCTCACTTGAACTGGTGCTCCCGGGAGCTGCGGATTTTGGAGGAAAACCGCTCAGCCAGCTTCTCCAGGCTCCGGGAGTACTCGAGCTCAATCTCCGCTTTCCGCCGGAAGAACTCCTGCAGGTCCTGCAGCAGCTGCAGCCGCGACTCCGATTGCTGCTCCAGGCACTTGAATTGCTCCACCAGCTGCGTGCGGATCTCTGCGGACAGAAGCAAGGCGAGGGGTGGGAGAGCATTAGGCTGGTGACAGGAACTGCAGTGGGACACCCCAGCTGAACTGTCACCCACCCCGGGCTGCCCTTGCCATTCACAACGCCCCTCCCCCACAACCCTTGCCCACCCACTCGCTCCCACCCCGCACCATCCAAAGCCTCGTTAGAGATGGAACGTTAGCACAGATCTTTCTGCCACACTGTCTAATCCAGTGTTTCCCACCGCACGCCGACCCCACCGTGTCTGTCATGTGCGTCCAGGTGGAACTGTGCTCCGTCAAGTTCCCCATGGCTGCTTTTTCAGCACTAGATCGCCAGCCCTTTCTTCCAAGTGGCTCTGGGTGGACGTGAACCCCCTACCCTTCGGGTTAGCGCCTGAGTATGTTAACTGCCAGCATTTTTAGTCCTTCGTTTGATCTCAAAAGTGAACTCTATTTTCTTTCTGAAATGAATTTACTCAGAGCGAGAAGTTCCCTCTAACTATGTAAAACCACACGCCGTGCTGATACACAGAAAATGGATTCAAACATTTGGCAAAATTCTACCCAGAGGGCATGGCTTACTTACACCAGGCAACAAACACAGGAACTGACAGACATTCCCTTGATCTATTCAGGATGGAAGGGGGTCTGAAAAGGGGCAACTCTTTCTTTTTTTTTAATCATTTTATTGGGGGCTAGTACAACTGTTATCATAATCCACACATTGTGTCAAGCACATTAGTACGTTTGTTGCCATCATCATTTTTAAAACAGTTGCTTTCTACTTGAACCCTTGGTATCAGATCCTCATTTTTCCCCCTCCCTCCCCTTCCCTCACTCATAAACCCTTGATAATTTATAAATTATTATTATTTTTTCATGTCTTACACTGACCGCTATCTCCATTCACCCACTCTTCTGTTGTCCATCATCCCCCTGGGAGGGGGTTATATGTAGATCATGGTGATTGGTTCTCCCTTTCTTCCCCCACCTTCCCCTTACCCTCCTGGTATTGCAACTCTCAATATGGGTCCTGAGGGGTTTATTTGTCCTGGATTCCCTGTGTTTCCAGCTCTTATCTGTACCCGTGTATTTGCTCTGGTCTAGCCAGATTTGTAAGGTAGAATTGGGGTCATGATAGTGGTGGGGGGGGGCGGAAGCATTAAGGCACTAGAGGAAAGTTGTATGTTTCAACGGTGCTACACTGCACCCTGACTGGCTCGTCTCTTCTTTGGTGGCACCTCTTTCTCTTTCACACCATGACTCCGTCCCACTTCGAATGACCTTCAGTGTCATGTACCACCACAGATCCCCTGAATGGACTCTTGCCCACATTCTAGGAAACGCTGGGGCCAATGCTCCAAATCTGCCTCTCTATGCAGGAGACTGAGTTTGGTTTGGGTCCTTGCCCCTCATGTCCAGCTACCACCTGCCTGTCTGTGCAAGCCTGCGAGGGGCTGTGATGCTGGGTACATGGAGCTTCCAGACTAGGATGGGTGGGGAAGAAAAGCTAGGCTCTGTTTTTGAAATGTTGCAAATGGAAAAATAGCCCCAGCAGATCTTAGGGCAGTGAAGGGCTGGCAGCATTCTTTTCCAAGTGCACGGGGTTGCTGGGGTCAGGGACCAACTCGATGGCAGCTGGGAACCAGAGTTCAAAATCACAGAGTTCAAAATCACAACCACACTTCACCTCACCCTCACACCTATCCTACCGTCACTGCTGCCACCCCCATGATGGCACTCCTGCCAGGCCATCCCCCAGGGCTGTGTCCTCAAAGCCATCTGCACACCACCTTCTGGCTGGAAATTCCCCCACGGTTCCCCCTCTGCCTGGGGAGTCAGAGCAGCCCATTGGCACCGAGGGAGCCCTGGGCGGCCGGCCGAAAAGCTGACAGTTTAACCTACCCTGCAGCTCCCTGGGAGAAAGGTCCTGTGACCTGCTCCCACCAAGATCGGCCGGGAAAATGAGATGGGGCGGTTTCTCTGTCTCATAGGGTCCTGATGAGTTGGACCCCCTCCACGGTGCCTAACAACTTGGGTGTGGAATTCAAGGCCTCTCATCATTTGGTCCCAGACTTTGCTTCTAGGATTCCCTTCGCCGACTCTCCAAACCGTTCAGCCAGACCTTTCCATGTCTGTCTGAAGAGAGGGCTGATGCCGCCGGGAACATCTGTCAGAGCCCGTCCTTAAAATGGGGCCAACCTGCCTGGCTGCATGGAGACTGCCCAGAGGACGTGCAGGCCGGGAGAGTTATGAAAGAATTGATTTCAGATCCCCAGCTTCTGTTCACCCCGCTCTGCCAAAGAGACTGCCGCTGTCAAGGTGCATGACCTTTCCCTCCTCATCAGGCCCCCTGTCCTGATGAAAGACCAACTCCTCACTCAGCTAGAACTTGACCCGAGTGTGGTGCCCCACAGGGGCCACGTATCTGGGTGCCAAGAGCGAGCAGGATAGTTGAAAATGTTGGCGCATCCTCCTTTAACCAAAGGCAAATCCCAAACCTATTGGCATGGAGTTGACACTACCTCCTGGTAACTCTGTGGATCCCAGTCAAACTAGATCTCTAGGCCCCTCTTCCAAGGTGCCCCTGGGTGGATTCCAACCACCAACCCTTCTAGAGTAACCAAGCTTCTCTCATGAACCATCATCAAGGGATTGAGGGCCCATAAACCTTTGCAACTCATCGTGTGATCCTAGGACCAGCAGAATCAGCGGCAACCTGGAAGGTTGCAGACAGTGCATCACCGCCACCCTCCGCCCAGACCTTCTGATTCCGAATCTGCATGGAACCCCGAGTTCTCACACACCTATACCTGGAAGAACACTGCCAGATGAGCCCGCCCCTGCCTCCCCACCCGACTCAGTTCCTATACAAGTTTACATCTTATTTTAATGTTGATGCTGTTTTGCCGAATCATGTCATAACCATGCTGATAATGATAAAACAACCCAGCAGAAAAAGAAACGTTTTGGATCAATGGGAAAATTTTCTAGATTTCCATTGAGCAATAAGTCTGATAAGTCCATTCTTAAAAGTTTCAAGCACCAAAGTATATTATGTTAATAGGATAAAATTCTGTGAATGGAATGGAAATACGCGCTCAATGATATAAAATAAATAATGTACAAGTCTGACTTATTTGGGTACATTTGGTGGATAATTTTTAATTATATTTGTTGAAAACCCTTCTAAGTTTGGGTACTGTTTGATGGATGGTGGTGGCTACCAAAGTACAATGGTATTTAGCCTATGGCTCAGCAATTCAGCTCATGCCTATACCACCCTACCCACTGCAGTCAGTTGACTCTGGCTCATAGCAACCCCATCAGACAGAGTAGAACTGCTCAGTAGAGTTTCCGGGGCTGTAGATCTTTATGAAAGCAAACTGCCTCCTCTTTCTCCCCCCTTGTGCTCCACCCCACCCCAATAAGAGTGTTGATGTCCACCAAGACAGGAGGATACTCATAGAAGCTTTATAGCCCCAAATTGGAAACAACTTATTGAGTGGAAAACATTTTCAAATGTTAACCATTCAATCAATGGAAGACTATATAGCCATGAAAAAGGATGGAGTACTGCTAGCTGCAGCAACATGCTTGATGAGCTTACCAGACCTGGTCTTTCTTGAAATACGAGAGAATGGGATTATACAAACTAATTTATGGTGATAGAGGTCAGAGAAATGGTTCTCTTGAGGGTGTTCTTGACTAAGACAAGGAACAAGGTTGCCTTCTGGGGTCCTGGAGATGTTCTACACCTTGACCTGGTGGTAGGTACATTGTTAAAAATTAACCAAGCTACACGGAACTTCTGTTCAGGGAGCTCATGTAATATGGGTGTGGATACAGGTGATGGGTGGAAAACCAGATGAGCATAATTAGTGTCACTGAAGTGGAGATGTCAGATGCTTTCATATATGTATGCTTATCAAAGTGAAATAATATAGGCCTTAAGACCCTGCAAATTCAACAAAGTGGATATGGTAGGGAACGTCTCCCCCAACACAGTGGTTAGAACTCTTAGACTACAAACAACCACAGGTCTAAAGGGTGAGATAAAAATCAAACCGCCGATGAGCCAATTCTGATTCATGGAGATCCTACAGGGCAGGGGACAACTGTCCCTGGGGTTGGTTGGTTGGTTTTCCATGATTGTCACTCTTTATAGGAGTAGAAAGCCTCCTCTTTCTCCCACAGAGTGGCTGGTGGTTTCAAACTGCTGACCTAGAGGGCAGCAGGCCAGCTCAGAACCACGACACCACCAGGGCGCCCAAGGAATGAGGTCACTGATGTTCAAAAAGGCCCCAGCTACGCTTTAAAACGATGATGGCCTGTGATGTCCACCTGAAACATTTTTTTTAAAGTGTAAAATATATGGTCCTAAAAATGCCAGAACATTTTAATAATTGAGCTGTACACTTCCTTCCACTGTGTATAAATGATACTATATATATAT